ACGCTTAAAAGCAATATTATTCAAATAATATTGCTTTTAATTAATATTGCTTAAAATTGTTATAATTTCAAACAAGTCTATTTTTGATGCTTTTTTTTAATGACTAGGCCAAGATGTTTACGCACATTAAATAATATTTCTATTTAGAATCGTATAAAAATAAATCGAATGAAAAATATAGAATACTTTATTTCATAAAGTGTGCTAATTCGGGTTAGGAAGCTCATTACCGGCACAAAATGAAACAGGAGAATAATTATAGTTCTTCAGAAACAAAGATGTCTGCAAAGAAGTTATAAAGTGAATGGTTTTAACTTAAAATAAAAAAAATAAACTTTCGTGTCAAGAAAGAAAAATCAATCAAATCGGATGGAGAGGATCAGCGTAATATCTTGTTTTTAGGATATAACCTTTTTTAATGTCATTTTAGAAATAAAATCTTGTTTTTTAAAGCAATAAACAAACAAAACCAAATATAATGAAATAAATTAATTATAAAATAAATTAATAAAAAAAGTAAAAAGGGCTCACGATACAAACTTTAAAAGAAAGTTTTGAGATTTAGTTTTTGTTTTAACCATTGAAATTATCAGCAAATGCATTAATAAAGCTAACGTCTCAGGAACGTTAGCTTGTAATCTTTTCTTCCTCAGAATATGAGAGTTCTCGAGAATCATATACGCATTCTCCTGGTACTTCGACAGCAGACGACTACAAGCAAATATACCGGTTTTACGCAAAGGTTTTACGAAAGAGCCATTCCTTCCTATAAACGTACCTCTTTGGCGATCATCATTTGGCATATAATGGGGCGAATAAGAGTGCCAATGTAGTAGGTAATAAAACCTAGACTTAGTTGAGAGTATTGTGATTGATCATCCCCATGCCCATGAAAAGGGGGAAGCAGAGACATTCGGTGAAACACCCCTGACACGATTTATTATAGGTCTCTCAAACCTTTGAAAGCATTAAATTTTATTGCTAAGTATGAAAAATTGCATGATCTAAGCATCTCTAAAGTTACAAAATAATACTTTAAGTATTTCTTGCGAAATTTAAAAAAATGTCACAAACTGAAAATGTCGCTTTCAATATTTTTTCGATATTAATTTATGGGATATTTTTTCGAAGGCTTTGCCTTAGTATTCAGTTTTTATAGTAATAGTGATTATTATATATACATTTATAAAGTCTGAAATTGGAAAATATATCATTCGTAAGGGAAATTTAATTTTCCAAACTGAAACTCACTGCTCTTTCATCACCCTTGACTCTTACTTTCTTATATGACGGTAGCTTTGTAGAGCAGATCATTAATATAGATTGACACATGCGTTGCTAATTTTCATCTTGACACAATGCCTTTCCTTTCATGTGTACAGATATTCAAGAAAGTCACTATTATTTACTATTGTCTTCTATTATTTACTATTACTATTTTTACTACTATTGTTATTATATTGTTTACTATTGTTATTGACACACTACTATCTTACTGAAATCACTTTTTGTTTAATAAAATAACGTCTAGAATAACTATGTTGTCAATAATGAAACGAAGTAATAAAAATTTATAAATAAACTTTTTGTGATAAAAGGGAGTATTTTTGTCAATTGCTAACACCATTTTATGATGCAACGCTAAGTATTAAATAAAGCATTAAAACACTAGCGTTTAAATTCGTAGGGGAATTCCCCGATTGATGCGCAAACAAAATCATCCCTCCGATAATTATAATGCTGATAATATGTATATATAATCTCTAAGTACAAGGTGATCATCATAAGTTTTTTGTCGAGATAAAGACCTGGTCATCATATTGTAAGTAATTTTTTCCGTAATTATCAATACCCTTATGATAAAATGAAATTTTAATGTTATATTTTCTTTCTCCTTTCATTTGGGGCAAAATAAAGAGATCTATCCTTTATTTATTTACTTTTTTTTGTTAGATATTGATGTCTTTGTTAAAGTAGAAGCTATGCCATAATAGAATCTGTAAAAAAATTAAATGTCTTTAGGATGTCTCAATTAATGTCTGTATTCTAATTAACTACACTGCGAAAATTTTTTTGTTTATCGCAGCACCTGAAAGGGTAGTAGCTTCTTAAAACAAAATGAAAATGCTACAGATGACTCTTGGTTTTTCGGGATTCACTACACAAGAACAAAGAATAGTTCTTATTGTGGATAAACTTCAAGAATTTTGTTTTACACAACATGGCGTGAAGTTGACATCATTTTCAGTATTCGATAACGTTAAATTTATATTTACAGTAAGATTTGATACGCGTAAGATGCGGTGAAGTTATTTCCGGTAAAAAGAATTCCTTTAAATTACATTACTGTATGGAAATGATATTCCCTTTAAAAAACAACAACATAATTTTTGTATTAAAAGTAAAATATACGGTATTTAAACTATTAATTAGGCAAATTTTCCGTTCATATGGTAACGTTTTACCGAAAATTTTGATTTACAAAATCATGGTTCTTTACCACGCATTTAGTAAAATAAACAAAACTGAAAAGTTAATTTAACCTAATAAAAGGTTTTTGTACCATGCTCTGAAATATCATCATAAAATTACCCAAAATTATGTCACGTTTACCAAATTTCGTCACATAATTGAATACCATATTTTATTGTTAATTTTAACAAAATCATTATCAAAGCGTTTCGATAAAAATTACAGAGTTTTTAAGTGCTCCCATAGAGCCAAAAACACGATAAATTTTATCAAATTTTGAAAACTTTGACCATACATTTTTGTCACTGCTTATAAAGTAAAAATCATTAATAAAGGGTGTATATATATATATATATATATATATAAATTAAAAGATCCCAAACTTTTTACTGTATTGGCACAGATTTCAAAATTTACACCCAATAATTTTGTGCTGTTGCTATAGCAGCTTCATCTACAATTATCTTTTTTCATGAATTCCTATTTAAATTCCTGTTCTTATAAAATTCGTGTTCACATCTCGAAGGTCACCAATGTGGGACGAGTTGTNTATATATATATATAAAAGTTAAAAACTATTTACTTAAGTAGTATTTTTTTAACTTATTTTATAAACTCTATATACTATTTTGTGTACTATTATAAGTCGTGCAGCGCGCTGTATGAGTTATAATAGTTCTCATAAACTATTACTTTTTCTTGTTATTTGTGATTTGTATAAATATAGTTTTGAAATTTGTTAACTTTTTAATATGAAAATTCTAATAACAATAATACTTGATGATATTTTACTTAGATGAAAAACTTGAGTAAGATGTCTACTGTTCAGAAAAATAGAAAGGTATGTTAATGTGCTTACGAAACCATTTAAAGTAACCTTATATTTACGCATAAAACCTGTAACGTTTTATTGTTAATTTATGTAAAAGAAGTTTTGAAAGTGGTATTACTTTTTTTATCGAACCATTAAAAATATGAATGTTGAACAACGTTATCCATTCCAAATTGTTTGGAATTACATGCAAAGAGAAAAGTATTAGGGGACTGGAAATTAAGTAATGTCTTTTCGTTGCATTTGACATTTGATATCAAGATTTTATTTTTAATCAATAATGTATTCACGCAACAACCTTTCATTGCCGAATCTAAAAAGAATCGAAATGGATCGAAAAAAATTAATTGGTTTTTAAGACTAACGGATATTTAATGTGACAAAACGACATTACTTTCCGGTCCACCTAATATTTGCTACGATTTTTCAGTCTGTGAAAATTATTTTGTACATTGAGAAAATATAAATAAATAAATATATATCATAGAAAATATTGCCAACTTGAGATCCAATAATCAGATTTTCATAGACTAAGATGCAATTTTCCGTTAATGGTTAAGTTATTTTTACCGAAAATAAGTCAAAAGCTGCCTACATTACTGTCTCTGCATAAACACACCATTCTTACGACGGATTTGGACTTTTGAGTCTTACTACATGGAATGCGGCATCGTTTTGTCAAGAGAGTAGTCTGCCAAAAGTTTTGTCCCTTTATTAATTTTAGATTTTGAGCATTTAGCGATGTCTTTGGAAATATGTGTTTAAGACAATATAAAACTTTTTGTACTCATTTATAAATATCGGTTATTCAAAGATGCAAAAAATATTCATGTAGAATAAGTATTTACGTTTTTTTCTTTTATTAACTGATGGTCGAAATTTTTTTTTAACAGTAAGATATACAATTACGTACTCATCTTCTTACAAAACTTTAAATGACAAAATCTAAACTTTGATTGAAATTGTTCGAACAGTTTTCCTGATCTCTATTATAGCTTAAAAACTATTCGACTGATTTCTTATAATTACGGTTAAAAATTTTGAAAAAATTTGTGTATGCTGCGCTTTGAAATTTCAATCATTATTAAAATATAATTTTTAAAATATTTTTTTGCGGGGAATTACCACCATATAAATGAAATTTATAATTCTGTACAAAAATGTTTCGATTCTCTCAAAAATGTTAAGCAATAATGGGGTAAAGGGAATTCAACATTAAATGACCCTAACCTTAAACGGCTCATCAGACTTGACTATTGTGACCATATTTTCCAGATTGTGTATGGTTTTCTTCCTTTAGTTTGTGAGTAAAAAATTCAATTCTTTCGAAAGAATGGTATTTCGATTTAGAGAAAAAGCGTTCTTGTGTCTAACTGCGTTAATCGTAACTATTTTCATGATTAAGGCTGACGCTTTAAATTATTAAAATTAGCACTTAGTACGTATAAATCTGGTTATTAGATCAATTTGGCAGTTATTTTTTTTACCCCCATTTTTAGCTCACTGTGCAAAGGTACGCCATTCTGTGAGACGCATGTTCACATTAAAAAACGCTTATTTGTTAAAAAACCTCTTATTTGTTATAAAAGCTGCAATACCTACATGTTTCATTAAATACAGTGTTGTATTGCGAGGAATTGTTAGGCCAACGTTCTACTGAAGTTGTAAGAACAAGGGTTGGCTGGCTTAAACCTACCAAAAAATCTTTTAAATTACTAAATTTTCTATTGTTCACATAAATACTTTTAGTTTAAATGTTATTAAATGAAAAGAAACTATAAATTTTCCCGAAATAGTTTTATAATCTAAAATAATCTAATAATCTAAACTTATAATAATCTAATCTTATAACGATCTTATAATCTAATTTAAAGGCGTATGTGAGTCTATGTTTGTCAAAATAAATATATGTGATATTTAATTTTTAATTTACGTATTATTAATTTTCAGCAAAAAATATATTTTTAAAGAGACTAATTAAGTAAATCTAAAGTTAAGTCATTGTCTCTAACAATTCTTTAAATAAAACATGCTCTGATAGTTCTTAAATCTTTCAAAATTAAAAGATCATAAGGGCCGTCCCCTCCGCTGCTGCTTAGGGGTTCAACTCATTAATACATTTTGATTAGCTTTATTTGTTGGAGCAAAGAATAATGCAGATAAAACGTGGTTTTAAATATTCTTTTTTTTTCTTTTTTTTTGCGTTTTGCATGGTTAGAATTTTTATTAAAATAAGGTAAAATAACGAACAACACTCCATCCATGCAATTAACCGTAAAGTTTACATTAAGGAACACTTTTTACCTACAAGGTTTTGAACCGTTTACAACAAGTATTATAAAACCTTGAAGACAAGACTGACAAAATTTTTTTTTAACAATTTGTAACTAGCATAGTTGTAAAACTGTAAAAAGGAAATTTAACTGACCATTGGAGCGAAGCTTTTCATTGGATAATGGGCATTCGAGAGTGCAGGACACTGGTAACTCTTCACGTGTTAAAGAAAATGGAGGAAATATCAAGGTGTCAGCGCTGGGACTCGAATTCCCATCCTTAGTCATGAGACTGATAGATTAGCTCTTTCGGCTATAATCTGTACCCAGCGGCAAGGAACTAAGTTGCTTCATTAGGGCTTAGCTCGTGCGATAAAATTCTGGTTGTTTAACCGTAATAGGTGAAAGCAGTTAATGTATAAACGGTTTTTCTCACAAATAACAGTTCGAATACTTTCTTATTTATGGTCATTTGACAGTTTTGTTTGAATATGGTAAAACACCAATTAAATTAGTTGTTATTTAACCATTTCTTACGAGAAATTTCAAACAGTGTGGCTGTCCGGCAGTTTTATCAATAAGCTAATAAATAATACTTCCTCTATTCCATCGAGATTATTGAAGTGGCCAAGGCTGCTTTAGATACTTTTGGACAAATTTAATTTTCCTTGCACTACTGGACAAGACAACAACAACAATAAATAATACTAAAAACACTCCTTTTGTATTTATTTTGTATTTAAACTCGTTACGCATAATGAAAGTGGTTCTATTTGTTATAGATATCAAAAAGAAATAAAGAAATATTAAAAGAAGTTGGATGTAAGTATTGTTTTAAACTCAGTATTTTAGATTTAAATTATGTATATTTAAGCTAAGGACATTTGATTTAAAAATAAATTGAAATTCTAAAATTTTTTAGAGCTTTTTGTTCCTAAATGTCTATTTGTTTGTTTATTTAGATATTTGCATTAATTTATTTCGAAAAAATGAATATTGATGAGTATTTATTTGTTGATTTAGGTGAAACGGATTTTGCGCTTCAATTTAAATCAGTTTTCCTTACATTTGCCTTAAATTTAACGCTGGCTGGTTTTTTATTATCTTTGTTAATAGAGAATGATTAAAAAGTTAATATATTGATGATTTTTCTCATAATAAATACATTAATATTTATATTTTTTAACTCTAAAAATTAATTAATATTTTCAAGAAAACATAACATTCTTTTAAGAGTTAAAGGATATTGTGTAAAAATAGTTGATCTGCATTTTTTCTGGTAACACAACAACACCTGTAGTTTTATGTACTTATTACTCATTTCCTGTTCGAACGAGATTAGAAAGGTTCATTTTCGTTATTTACTGCAACCTTTAGTTAGAGCTCGAATTCATTATGTATATAAAAACCGCAGTTAGCAAAATTTGTCTTGAAGCAAATAAATAAATGAATAAATGCATTGTATACCGAAGCAATATAGAGAATATAAAACTATTAAGAAATGCAACTGTAAAGAAATATAATTGCATACATATACATTACAATATCTGAAGGCTAAAGCCAAATAGATCTCTTTTATCAAAATGTTTTTTTTTCTTTTTTTAAATACGCTTATTATCACTACTTTTAAACCTTAACAAAATATTTAACAACTTTTAAAATTTCATATAATTAGATCGAAACTCACTCTTATTTATATTTTTATACATTACTTTCAAAACATAACTTGCGGAACACTAGCACTCTTCTCTTCAATCAAATTCATATGTGTTTCATTTTCAAGTTTCATTTTAAATATTTTATTAAATTAAACTTGTTCAATTTCAAAATCTGGAATATTTTTTAAATTTTTTTTTTATAATCCCAGCTTAATTTAAAACTTTAGAGCAAACTTCAATAGCAAATTATTTCTTTACGAGTCATTTTTTGTTCAAAGTAAATCATACATATTAATAAGAAAATAAGACTGGACTGTAGAAAACATGCTATTTAACTTACTTCAATTACCTTATTCTCAATTAACTTTTGTCTAATTCATATTAAGATCTCAATTTCTCTCTTTTTAGTTATTCCTTTTTAAGTGTCAGTTTAATTGTGCAACTAAAGCAAAGAACATTGGTATATATCGACTATAATAGCCTGAATGCTCCAAAAATACTCTAATCTCAGTTTTGGCCTTAGGTATAGGGAATTGGGCTACTGCTTGTATCTTTATACTAGAGGGTTTTCTATAACTTTGTCAGACAATATATCCTAGATAAAGAACATGATCCTGCTTAAAACGGACCTTTGAAGGTTTTAAGGTAATATTCAGTTGCAATACACACATCAGATGTTCTAAATGAAGATCCCAGGTATCCGAGAAAATTGTTATATCATCAAGGTATGACATGGCAAATTTTTCCAAATCCTTTAATAGTCAGGCCAGTAACTTACTAAAACAATAAGTGGCATTCTTCAACCTAAATGGAAGTTGTAATGGCCTGTAAAATCCGAAATTGGTAACAAAAGCAGCTTATCTCAGAACGTTTGGACTAGGTTTAATTGGCCAATAACTCTTGATGAAATCTAAAAGGCTGATAGATTTTGCTTTGGCTATCTCTTCAACCCTGTCATCTATGTTCGGAAGTAGGAAATATTGAGACGTCGGTAATCAATGCAGAGCCTTGAATCCTTATTTGGTGCTTCCACTAGAATCAGGGTTAATTAGCCAATGAAATCAATCAACCAACCAATCAGTTAACCAATGAAAGAACGAATCAATAAATCACTGAATGAGTGAACTATTGAAATAACAGATAATCAAAATGGTGATTCTTCGATCTAACGAATCCCCTATTTATTAATCTTTTATTCCATTCATTCTTTGAATCGTTGATCTATAAAGTAACGAACTCATTATTTTGCTAATTCATTCGATCACTCATTCATAAATCCTACATATTTATTCCGTTTTTGAGTTTTTAGTTTAATAGCTTTATTGCACCAAAAAAAAATTATCACTCTTAATAACTTTCAATCTTATGTTCGAATCTTCTCGTTCCAAGACTCATTCTTAATGGTTCGTGAAGGTGACCTCAAATATGATAAATAAATAATACAGACGATATTTTAAGTTGCGAAATCAGACACAAAAACGTAATTTCTCTGAATAGACATGCTTTTTTTTCGATGGATTCAAATTTCGGACCCACAAAATGTAGTTAATTTAAAATGTATACAATTTTACATGGTAAAAAACAAAATTTTAGAGAAATAGGTTGAATAGTTTCTGATAAATCAATTTTTTAAATATATACCTGCTTTAAAATTAATTGAAATTCGATTTCTCAGGAACTATTTAACCAATTTTGCCATGTGAAATTACATGCTTCAAAATGAAGTAAAAATGACCTTACAATTCATAAATTTTCAGACTTTTTTTTAAGTAAAATAATAAAAAATAAAAAACATTTACTAAAATTTATTTTATACATGAGATTAACGAAGTTTAAAACTGTATGCAAAAACTTTTCAATTCACTTAAATCTTCTTTGAGATATGGCGAAATACGCAAAAGAAAAATTAACATTAAGGGGTCCAAAGTTTCGATCGCTCTCCTAACGAAACTATGGAGACCATATTTCCCAGATTGCGGCTACACCCTATTATTTTAGAAGTCAGAAATCCGAATCCACAAAAAAGAAAGGTATCTCTATTCAGAGAAAGTACGTTTTTACGTCTGATTTCGTAACTTAAAATATTGTCTGCACAAAGTAATTGGGATATTTTATGTCACCCCATCGAACCATTAAGATTGAGTCCTGAAACGGGAAGATCCGATCAATGTATCAAAAGTTATTCAGGATTGTCCGTTTTTTTAGAGTACTGTACGTTCGCGCATTGATTCAACAATTTTTTATTCCTGCAATCTTTAACTCTCTGATTCATTAATTCAATCAACATAGCATTCATTTGCAGATTCTATGATTTATTAATTTGCTAATACAGTGAAACCTGCCAAGTTGACCACCCTTGTAAGTTAGGCACCTGCATAAGTTGACCTCAATTATCAAGAACGGAATTTTTCCTATATAATATAAAGAAGCAAAACCTTTGTAACTTGACCACCTGTCTATCTTGTATGTTGACCACTGAAATAAGCCAATTTTGTCTAGGAGTATTATGAAATTCTATTCTAAAACCGTCATAAGTTGACCAGAAAAAAAATTCAGAAAATTTTCCGTCATTTTGCAATGTGTATGTTAAAATTTCACTTGTTTGGTGAATAGTGTAAAAAGCTAATCTAAACCCTTTTGTGAGTTGATAATCTGGGGAAACTGTAGGGGGGCAGCTTTTGACCATTTCTTTCATTCATTCATTGAAAACTGGTGTGTTAGTTGAAAAGTTGCTCTTCCAGTTGCAATAGTGAGCAGATAGGTATGTAAGTGTAGTAATAACAGAATAAATTTTAAAGTGTTCAAATGATTTTGTTTTGTTAAAATTTTCAAATTACATGTCTTCGTGTTCTGATATTTTAAGAAATTATTTTTATTTAACACTTCACATGCATAAAATTAATTTAGTTAAATATTATAATTATGTATATGTAGCAAATTGAAGTTCATTCAGGTTTAAACAAATTTCTTAAGATTTTCATTTGGTTATTTGCTAAATAAAATTTTTAATTCAAGTAAAATTTGTTTTAAATATATAGCAACATGATATAGGAAATGAAAAAGTAAACAATGAGTAAACAATGACCCACCCCCTCTATAAGTTGACCACTTGTCTAAGTTGACCACTAAAACAATGCACCACAAGTGGTCAACTTACACAAGTTTTACTGTACTTAGAAAAATTATGTTGATTTCGGTACTTAGAAAAATTATGTTGATTTCGGTACTTAGAAAAATTCTGACGTTTTCAGTACTTAGAAAAATTCTGCCGATTTCGGTACTTAGAAAAATTCAGACGATTTCGGTACTTAGAATATTTCGGACGTTATCGGTACTTAGAAAATTTCTGACGTTTTCGGTACTTAGAAAAATTCTGATGATTTCGNAGAGAAATAGGTTGAATAGTTTCTGATAAATCAATTTTTTAAATATATACCTGCTTTAAAATTAATTGAAATTCGATTTCTCAGGAACTATTTAACCAATTTTGCCATGTGAAATTACATGCTTCAAAATGAAGTAAAAATGACCCTACAATTCATAAATTTTCAGACTTTTTTTTAAGTAAAATAATAAAAAATAACAAACATTTACTGAAATTTATTTTTACATGAGATTAACGAAGTTTAAAACTGTGTACAAAAACTTTTCAATTCACTTAAATCTTCTTTGAGATATGGCGAAATACGCAAAGGAGAAATGAACATTAAGGGGTGACCCCACCCTGAATATTTCAAAAATTCCGAAAAATTTTTTATTGCATTTTTCGAATCTTTGTACCCTTTCTAATGTCTATCTAAAACGATTTCTTGGTACCAAAGTTCGTTTGGAAGTTATGCCGGAAAATAGAGAGTCGTTGCTAAGCAGGTAGAAAGGCCCGTTCGGCCGGATTAGGAGGGGCGACATTTTTTTTGTGTCTCATCCATTCTGTTGACTGTATATAGAAACTTATTGTGGGCATTTCAGTTATTGACCATTATATATATGAAATTAAACGTTTTCCCCTACCATAAGTCAAAACTTTAAACGCGTTTTTCTCAAAACGCTGCTTTTTGATCTGGCCTAACGTTTTTTTCATGATCTATACAATGAAATAAGCTGTTCTTTATTTTAAATTATGTAAAAATATATTCTTTAGAAAGTAGCATAGGATTTTTTTTGATATTTTTATATTTCGATTTTATATTAGCATTTTAATGAATATTTTTTTCATGAAAAACTTTTTTTTCAAGTTGCCGCCATTTTGGTAATTTTGCGAATATCAAAAAACCGCTATGCTACTTTTTAGATAATGTCTTTATGCTTCCGAAAACCTAAACAAAATGGTTTTCCTATGTTTCAGGAATTCTAAATCCATGAGGCCAGTGAGATGCTACTTTTTGATGACCAGTCACACACTTAGCTGCCACCAACTTATTTTTAATCATTTTGTAAAAGAAAATTTTTTAAAATAGACCTAAATTGTAGCTAAATAACATAAAAAACAAGGAGTCTCTGCATTGTCTCTATTACTTAAAAAAAATTAGGAAAAACGTTAATATTTTACCATCTCATGGTGGGGTTCCCCCTTAAGGGGTCCAAAGTTTCGATCGCTCTCCTAACCAAACTATGGAGACCATATTTCCCAGATTGCGGCTACACCCTATTATTTTATAAGTCAGAAATCCGAATCCATAAAAAAGAAAGGTATCTCTATTCAGAGTACGTTTTTTCGTCTGATTTCGTAACTTAAAGTATTGTCTGCACAAAGTAATTAGGATATTTTATGTCACCCCATCGAACCATTAAGATTGAGTCCTGAAGCGTGAAGATCCGATCAATGGATCGAAAGTTATTCAGGATTGTCCATTTTTTTTATATTTATTTATTTATATATAAATATTTTTATAGTGTTTGCTGCCAAGACTACAGTAATATCAGGCGCCATTCTTGGCGGGACTGCCTTAGCTCTTCCTCTTATTGGTTTTACTGCTGGAGGAATTGCAGCGGGTTCTCTAGCGGCTGCATTTCAAAGTGCTTATCTTGGTGGTACTATTACGGCTGGTAGTTTATTTGCAGTGTTACAAAGTGTGGGAGCTGCTGGACTGGCTGCTAGTACGCAAGCTGCTGTTGTTGCTGCTAGTGCAACTGCTGCAGGAACCCACTCAATAGTAAAGAATTTGAAGAAAAACAAAAAATGTGAATCGAATACTTCCAGAATCCAAGAGGAGCAAAATGAGAACGATGACGACAAGGAAGAAGAAGAGGAAGATACTGATCAAGTTATTAAAACGAAGGATTCGAAAAACCCAAAAAGAGCAAACCACGAAAGTAATCTTCTAAACAAGGATAGAAATTTGTGGAAAAAATTTTTTAGAATTCGTTCCAAGAATGGCGTAAATAAGGCTGACGAAATACGCAAATATTTTGACGAAGATGACATCGAAACATTTAACCCCAAATGGAAAGACGTGGTTCTAACTGCGTCCTATAGTAACTATACTGATGAAGTCATCATAACACAACACCTTGTAAAAGAATATTAATATAAAATATATTTGAAATATATATAATGCTACTTGTCTATTTTGTATATTTTTTAATAAATTGAAAATTAATTTTTGAAAGAGAAATGAACTCTAAATACATACGCTTATACATTTTTAGATATTTACTGAAAAGCCAATAATGACAGTTTTTTTCTTTGAGAGAGTTAGTGTGGTATGAAATATATTTTCATCGACAGGTGTAAGAAGTAAGTTCTTCTTGGCGTTTAAACTGTAATAGGGAAATCGAGCTCTCTTTAAATAGTTTTAAATTATGTCAATTTTATTTTCTTATTCTTTTTTGATTCAAATGATATTTTTTAAAACACTCTTAAACAATAAATGGAATTCGTACCCAAATTTATCCTGTTTTGGTGCAAAATAATTAAACAGTAAACGTTTAGCTACTTCAGAACGTTTATTACCGATGATTTTGTGTTAACTTGAAAAAGAAATAAAAGTTTAGTCGCACAATTTTCCGGGTTGTTCAACATCATATTTGGAGAGATATTTCACCATAGTTTTTACAATGTAGTGAGTGAATATCTGTTAGCTATTTTTCACTTGAGTAAAATCATGAATGTTAATTAAGTTGATTTCATTTTTCTTTCATAAAATTTTTTGATCACTCTTTTCTTTCTTACCCACAATAATGTTAATAATGGCTGTGGTTTAATTTGCTGTGCTTGGATATATATATATATATATATATATATATATAAGAGGGAATTAAATGGTATTAAAATGAGGAAATTAATATTAAGGACAATATTAAGGAGAGATATAAGCTTTTGTTATGATGAAGAATATTGACTTCGAATTGCTTCATTTTAACGCTATTTAACACACTCTTATATGTATATATCTATGCACAGTAACCTATAGGACCGCATTGTGGCCTGTAATTGTTTNTATATATATATTCCTATAAATTATCATGTTGTAAGTTTAAACAAAACATCTTTTAAATTGTATTTTGTGCTACCTATGTAACGAGTGAGAAAATAATTGTTCAGTTGAAATTTTTTATTAATTTATTGTTATTATTATTTTTCAATTTGTGCATCCGAAATTATTTTTTAATAAATTATTTGCTGCATAACTTCAAACTAAAATAATGAGTTTTCAAACGAAATTCAAAAAGAGAAAATCGTCAGCTAATGTTTTACTTCAGGATAAGAGATGTCCCCAAAGAAAACACAGTTAGTTTGCAAAAAGTTTAAAACAGCCAAATGCACTAGTACTAATATATTATTTCGAAAATAGTAAAGAAAGAAGTGTTTGTAGAGGTGCAAAACACGCAGGGAAAAGTTATCTTTTAAACATTTTCCGTAGAGGAATAATTTTACAAAGCTTTAGAAAAATTTTACGTTATAGGAATGTTACAGAAATTATAACAAATAAAGGTTTTATACCTTCTATTTAATTTGAACGAAAATGTTGGTGATAAATTTTTATCGTTGTGAAAAAACTTTTCATTTAATTTGTATATGAGTAGAGTAGAATTAAAATAAAATTTATTTTTTGAAATCTTAATTAATTTTGAATTATTATCTTTATATGTAAATGAAGAAAATATGTAATGAAAAATATATGCGAAATATATACAGGAAAATGTACCGTCTTTTTATTCTGGACATAGTTCTGAGGTAGCAAAACGATATTATTTAGTATCAGATAGATGCAATATAATACTGCCGTGTAAAGAAGCGCTAGACTTCAAATATTAGAACTAATATTATATTAGATTAATATTATTCGATTTAACCTTTGAATTTGTAAAATTGTCATCGATTTCATTGCTTACGGCTTGATCACTCTTTTTTGTGAAAAGGCACCTCATATTATTAATTAATAAATATTTATTTATGAAGGAAAACAATAAATTGAAATTCCCCGAAATATTCTTTTCTTACCTATACATAATTTTATGCCAGAAAGCGCAAGATAATATTATTTTTAAGCTAATTCGGTTCGCGATCGTTTAAGTGAAAAAACTTTTTATCCCCTGTGGTCGAGATTACGAGTTACGAGGATATTGCAACACTTCAAAAGTGTTTATTTTATTTATTTATTTTTTTGATATTTCTAATAAAATTATTCGACTGCAAGTTATCATAAAAGCATAATAGTAAAGATTTCATTTATGCAATTCCACTTCATTAATCATTTAAATTATCTTTAGGCTATCTCAGTAAATATCTACAGCTGCGCTCTTAAAAATCGTTCAGTGTTTAATCAGATAATAAAACGAGGCATTTAAAAGATAACATACTCATAAAAACATACTTTTGTTTCGATGATACTTCAGGATATGAAGGCGAAACTGAGTTTAAGTGGTTTAGCAAAAGATTAAAAAAATGCTAATGCAATAATACATTTATTTCGAAAATTAATCCAGACAAAGTAATTTGTAAATAAACAAAAACTTTTTTTCGCTGCTTACAAAATAAAAGTTGGTTAGTAAACCTCTTTATTTAAAACCTTTGTATTTTTCGAATGAATATCAACTGAAACTTTTAAACATCTTTGAAAAGATCGTTTTTATTTAACAAAAGTAATCTTTAGTTATCTAGATTAAATAGTTATTACCTTAATTATTACGGTACTTTTATTTTAGGCTAGAGCTGGGAAATTAAACTTTATTATTTTTTTTAAATTTTATTTAATTTTTTGTGAACGTCCAATTTATTCAGTGTTTAAAAAATGAAAATGTAATAAGTTGGCTGAGGTCTATATTTTTGGCGACTATTTGTGTGTGCCTGCGCAACTGAAAAATACTATTATTATAGATATTTGTTTCATGTTCAAGGTATATCGTGTGAAAATTAGTTAAAAACACCAACTTAGATGATACATAATAACATTTAAAGTATCAATACCCTATTCTTACTTGGCAAAGACAGAGCGGGAATATTTTTGTGTAATGGTCTGCCGCACCAACTGCAATCGCCAGGGTGACAAATAAATTTCAAACTTGGAACTTTTAAACCAAATTTTTTTTGAAGCATTTAGAGGTTTGCCCGAGGATGGCTACGAATTATACCCTTCCAGTCGGTCCCTTTTCGTATTTTTTTTAATTTCTCGAAAAAAGTGAACTTTTTATCATTGTACATNAACAAAAAATTTTTTTTCTCTGCCTACAAAATAAAAATTGGTTGGTCTTTGTTTAAAACCTTCGTATTTTTCGAATGAATATCAACTGAAACTTTTAAACCTCTTTGAAAAGATAGTTTTTATTTAACAAAAGTAATCTTTAGTTATCTCGATTAAATAGTTATTACCTTAATTATTACGGTACTTTTATTTTAGGCTAGAGCTGGGAAATTAAGCTTTATTATTTTTTTTATTTAATTTTTTGTGAACGCCCAATTTATTCAGTGTTTAAAAAATAAAAATATAACAAGTTGCCTGAGGTCTATATTTTTGGCGACTGTTTGTGTGTGCCTGCGTAGCCGAAAAATACTATTATTACAGATATTCATTTCATGTTCAAGGTATAGCGTGTGAAAATTAGTTAACAACACCAACTTAGATTGTACATAATAAATTTTTAACATTTAAAGTATCAATACCCTACTCTCACTTGGCAAAGACAGAGTGGGAATATTTTTGCGTCATGATCTGTTGCACCAACTGCAATCGCCAGGGTTCAAAATAAATTTTAAATCTGCAACTTTTAAACCTAATTTTTTTAAAATCATTTAGAGGTTTTCCCGAGGATGGCTACAAATTATACCATTCTAGTCGGTCCCTTAATTTTTTTTTTTAATTTCTCGAAAAAAGCGCACTTTTTATCATTGTACATATGAACATAATGTTGTGAATGTATCTCCAAGATGTGCTGGATATATATTGGAAGGTGGAGAGGTGCGAATTCACTATATATTTCTAAACCATGCCACTTATATTCCCTAGTTTCCAACTTCGTGGTTTAAGTGACTGAAGGTATTGGTGTAAACTAATGAGTTTAATTCATTAATGTCAGTTTAAGAGGAATTTTTTAATGAGGAAACGGACGAAATGTCTCACAAATGGCAGCAACATTTTAAAACTTCAATGTTATCTACAAACATTTCTCCTCATGCGTCAATAATTTTTAATGCGAATTTCTCACACTCAAATTAAATGCTCTGAAAACACATTTTTCTTTACAATGCAAAAATGCTGTGATTTTATAAATAAAATTTTAAAGCTGAGTGGCTACATTTCCAAGTTTATGAGTAAATGAGCTTTAAATAGGTGATATTTTGACAATATAAATTGAAGACTATGCATTCATCTCTTGTCCTCAAGATTCTAATAGTCAAAATCAAAATTGTTTTAACTATCATTTAAACATTAGAGTCATCCCATTCCCAATCTTGTGGCCAAAAGATGTTTTCCAAGCTTATTCCTCCAGTGTTAACTGCAGAATGCACTTGAAGCCTTTTTTTTTCCTCGAGTTCTCCGAAATTTAATTATAAATGATTGTTGAATATTCAAAGAAGACTAAACTAAGTCTTTTTCTCTCAGAAGTCTAATAATGTCACTTAGATTCTGCTTTGATATTGCTCTAATACAAAAATTATTTTGATATTTTAATTCAAAAAATTAGAGCAAATAATTAAAAAAAATTGTATTTTTAAAATTACAATATCTTAAATAATTTAGTTATCCGAAAACCTGTCAAAATTATTAACATTGAGTTAATTCTTTGGAAATAAGTAATAGCATAATTTTTATATCATGCGTTGTTAATAAGTAAATAAGCTAGAAACAACGCCTCGATCACTTTTTAGATTGAAATTTCAGACCTCTAAATGAGTAAAAATACGAAAATTGTACTCTAATTGTAAATAACTCAGTTATCTGAAAACCTGTCAAAATTATTAACATTGAGTTAATTTTCTAGAAATAAGTAGTAGCATAATTTTTATATCATGCGTTATTAATAAATAAATAAGCTAGAAACAACGCTCCGATCACTTTTTAGATTGAAATGTCAGACCTCTAAATGAGTAAAAATACGAAAATTGTACTCATTGTAAATAACTCAGTTATCTGAAAACCTGTCAAAATTATTAACATTGAGTTAATTTTCTAGAAATACGTAATAGCATAATTTTTATATCATGTGTTATTAATAAATAATTAAGCTAAAAACAGCACTTCGATCACTTTTTAGATTGAAATTTCAGACCTCTAAATAAGTATAAATATGAAAATTGTACTTTTTGTACATTTGTATAATCTTCGCAACTTTTGTAACTTCCATATACCATTTATTCAATCGACTTAGTCTTGATCTCAGTCAAATTAGCTTAAAAAACACACAGCATCTAATACTTAGCTTTTCTAAAATTCAATGTGAGATGTGTACATGGGTATAAGAACAACAAAATATTTCTTCTACTCAAAAACTTTAAAATTTAAACTATTTGTTCTAGAGTTTGTTTTTGTCTTTCTTTCTTTTCAGTTCAAAAAATACATGATAAGTAACAGCAATTTGATATAAAAAGGTATAAATCCAAAACTAAACTTTTCATTCGTTATATTTACTAAATCCCTTATAAGAGCCGTGGTGGCTCAGGGTATAGAGCATCCGCCTTCTAATGAAGGGAACCGGTTTCGAATCCCAGCGATGGCAGGTGAATACGAATTCCGCTCCCAGCTTGCACCGACTACAGCACTGATGTAAAATATCCTTTGTGGTAGACGTATCATGAATCTTCTTGGCGTTACGCTGACCATAAAAAGTTTTCGTTGCTTTCCTCAAGTTCTCCACGAAGGCAAATTACTCCCATTACTTGATCCAGGAATTCCCTTGTCTTCTGGATTGGGTTCAAAATTATAAGGCTCCGGAGTTGAACATTCGAACCTAAACATTCGAAGTCGTAAACCTAAAAAAATTGGGTTGGTTTTTTAACGACGGTTATAAAATAAAACAAAAGCCTTTATAACTATTCATCTATTAGTTCTGTCGTCTTGGTTTTAGTGCCATCTGATTCAGAAGAAAGGAATATATCAGAAACAAGATCTCATATGTCTACATAGAACTGTTAAAGTTTTTTTGTTTTCACTCTTTTGACCACTTTCTCTTCCTAGTAAATTCAAGATGGTAGTCAAGGCTCACGCACGCGTAAGGTAATTTTTGTAGGCTTAAACTACTACTTTAAAGAACAAATAAGGCATAGCACACCATTAGGGGTGTCTGCTCATTATGAACTGGCCATCCATGCGCATTAGAAACCGTATTTTTATTGGTCAAAATTACCTTAATTTTATGTTAATTTTTCGCTTTATGGTAATTTTCAAAAGTTGCGTCAGAATAGGCTAAAGAATAGCTTCAGTGATTTGATGAATAACTTGCAAAGCCCACCTTTTTCTCACCAAATCATTAAATTGCGTAAAAGTTACGCAAAAATAAAAAAAATAAAAAATGTTTTTAGTATACAGACTAGATCATGTTAATAAATTTTTATCGATTTTTCGCAATGGCTGAAAGAGTAGAATATAATTCATTTTTTTTTATTTTTTGAAAAATACTTTTTTCTTAGTTTTTTCTTTCATACAGCAATTTGATTAATTTTAAAGTTTATTTATGATTTTTGGCAGTGATTTCAAAACATTCTGCCTTAAATTCTCGTCTAATAGTTCATTTGATACTATAGGCTAAATAAAAGAAAGATCTGAAAAGTCACTGCACTATAAATCACACAAGTAAATTAAGCTATATTTCTATTATTGCGCATTTTAAAATGATTTTCATTTCCTCTTATCACTGTTTTTTTATCTCGTTTGATATTTTCGCCTTGCTTTATGCAAATTGCCCTTCGTATCGGCATTAGTGTGAGATTCTCAACATGAGGTTTAAGTTCTTATCAATTTTGTGGGTGTTGCAGATATTTGTCTTAGCTGAAGCAGTAAGTTTTGCATAAATTTGCTTGGATTAGTTTATTATCTATGGTTATTATAATTTTTTTTAAATGTTTACAATGATATAAAATTATTTTATTAAATTTCGATGTATATGGGGGCTTTGAAAATTTCAAAATATGTTCTACATTATCTTCATTAGTGCGGTTAAGAAAAGTTTTTTAAACATAATAATTTTTGAATTATAATGATTTAAAAGGTAAAAGTACAAATCTATGAAAGTCCTTGTTTTAATTTTAACATGTTAATACACTTTTTGTCTTTCTATTATTAAAAAAGTTTAAAGATAATTTCAAAAATACATTTATTGTGTTAGCATTTGCTTTACATATCTTCGAGCTCGTCACATTGAATTCCTGAATTTATATATACATGGCGATGATTTATGTAAAAGTGAAGAAATTTATGTAAAAGTGAAAATTTCGGTAAAGTTTAAGCATTTTCTCCGAATTCTCTTTTTTAACATAAAAATTGTCACTTTAATATTTTTCTAAGAAAACACTTGCAGTTTATAGCAAAATAAAAAGAAACAAGATACGAAACAAGGAGTAAACTGAAGATAATAAAAAAAAAATGGAATAAAATATGTATTCTGTATATAAAGGTATATTATGTTAGCACTTAAATATTACCATATTTTTATGCTGATGATAATTATTATAAATTTTATGAAGAAACCTCGATATTATTTAAGACTTAAAGAGGCGTATTTTAAATTAAAGCGAATTTATTTCAAAACTTTAAGAATTTTTATTTATGTCTTATTTTAGGTGCCTGACAAAGATAAAAACCAGAAGGTAAGTTAAAGCTCAATCGTACTTTTTTAAATTTTTTTTTTAATGTTTACATAATAGGTTTTGTTTTTAAACTCAACATAAAATGAAAATTTTTAGCACATTTAAATTCCTTTTCCAAAAATACAATTTAAGTAATAAAATAATTATTTGCTGGTGGAGCAATAATTTTTCTGAATTCTAGAAGCAAAAGCAAATACATATTTATTCACAGTTTTTGAAAATGCAATAATAAGATAAGTAACTGTTGTAATTTAATACAATATATTAAAATCTACGTTTAGGTTAATTAATTTATTTTTTAACCTTATTCCTTATTCGTTTAATCAAATTCTCTGTAATGAAATTTATATAAATATATATTTTCTATTTTACTAAAAGGAAATATAGACTATCTAAAGTTTGGCAGTTTTTTTTTCTAAACTTTTTACAATAGCTAATACAATCTGGGTAGAAAAATTAATTACCTGAAATTTTAAGAAACATTACTTTTTAATTTTCAGTTGAAAAAAGGTAATTTATTAAGGTAAGATTTAAAAATAAGAAATGGAAAAAAATGGAACTTTATTTTCACAATTGCTAGCTGAATTCAAATGATTGATAACTATCAGATTATAGAGATAAAAAATCTTTATATTAAAAAAAATGAATAAAATTACTAGATCAACATAGAATGAAATAATTGTCCTAATTTCAATACTTCTCATTATATCTATATCTCAAAAGAAATTGTGTTAAAACCTTATTTTAAAAATACTAACAGTTTCTAGAGTTACACAATATGCATTAGTAGGAGTACGATACGATTGCAAGAAGATTATGGCAAGATTTTAACGAAAAAAAGGTGGGCGAATTTGTATATTGATACTTATTCATGATTGTCAGATGTTTTGCCAATTTCAAGTCAGAGCCTTTTATTCTAATTCTAAAAATAGCGCAAACTGTCAATGTTAAGAAAAACCTAATTGTTGTTAAAAATGAAAAGCCTTAGTGATAGAGTTCTTAAATATATAAGTAAATATAGTAGTATAATTGTAAGGAAATTGTGGAAAGATTTGAAAGAAAGATAATAAATATAAAAAGTAGATTTTAGTCATAATTGTACGAAAAAACATTTACATATATTTCTCGAAGTCTCTGTCCTCACATGAAATAACACTGTATATAGTGAATAACATGATAATTCTTTTACATCTCCTCTTGTAAGTTAGGAACAAACTATTCATGATTGTTAGATTATGTTTTGCCTATCTTCAGTCACAACCATCTATACTAATTAAAGTTAAAGGCCTTTAAACTGTTTTTTTTTTACTTTCATTTCCTTAGCAAACGAGTTTCGAAAAATACAGTTAATGTGAAACTATAGAATTGAAAATTCTATTTTCTGCTTTTATCTATATGTTTGTGCCTTTTTCTATTCTCTGTTTTCTTGATATTTTCGGTGTATTATTTGCTGTTCTTATATGGTTATTTAAAAATAAATGATATCCAACTTTTGTTTCTTATGCAAGTGTGTTAAGTTAATTTCGTAAGAGTTGGAAAGCGACGACTACGCAAGGGTGAATCAAGTTCATAAAATAATAATAATAATAATTATAATATTCTTCAGTATTATATGATTTTTAGACGCTTTTTGTAGAATCATAGTCATCCTATCATTTGAAATCACATTTAATCAATAAAAAAAATCTGATAGAAATAAGCAAAGTCAAACAATTAAATAACAAATTTATAAGAGAAAATTCTGGAAACTCGATCTGTTCTTTCTGTCTCATTGTCTTTCAGTTTTAAACAAATATAAATAAATCAAAACGTTAGTGTTCTTACACTTTTCTGAGCGTAAAATCTAACTTCAATTATTGCTCCTTAAGCTGTGATGATAATCGGGCTTTTTCCTAGAAAAATTCCTATTAGTTCTGCTTTACTTTTTTAAATCTCTTAAAATTGTTACAAATTTTTAAATGTTGTTATCATAATTTTAACTATTGAATATTGGAAGCATTTAAATTATCAATTCACTGTATTTTCTGGTATAATTTTCTCCCTTAACGGGGTAGAACGACCTTTTCCGTAATTTAAAGCTTCATTTTCCAATTGTCCATAAGCTTCTAATTATATAAAACTAAGATTTTTAAATAGAAATTAGTTCAGTTAATTCATGCTTAATCATACATAGCGTTTGAACGACGAAATATATCTGCATATTTAATTTTTGATACTTTTATTTTTTTGAAATCTCAACTTTAATATTTTTTGTTTGCTTAACCTTATTTTCAAATCTTTTTTCGTAAAAAATTAATAATTTAAAATTTTTGAGGAAAATACTAAAAAATATAATTGGCTTGGTTTCTTTTGTGCTTAGAAGGATGCATACACAAAGCATTATTACAAAAACCAAATAAACCTTTTCAAATTTAATTTGCAATATATTGCTTAAATGTCAACTAAAATTTACATAAAAAGTAATTCGATCATATATTATGTATAAAATTATAAAATTATTCTTACGCAAATTGAAAACTTATGAATTTTAATAATAAATTTTAAAGCACACATTTTAGTAAAAATAATTCTTCAACTTAGGTGATTAATTTATTTAACGTATATTTCCACAGGGGTTACAATGGAAACCACAGTGATTTTAGCAATAGTAATAGTTGGTATCAGTATTGTTGTCACAGCTCTTGGTTTTGCGGTTGGTGGTGTTTCAACGGGCTCTATAGTTACCTGGATACAAAGTACTTTTTTCGGTGGAACTCTCAGCAAAATATTCGCAGGAATACAAAGTATTGTAGCTGTTGTATTGGCTGTAAGCGCAAAAGCAATTGCGCAAACTATTAATGTATTAGTTTCAGGCTTTAGGAATATATTAAACAAAAATAAATGTTCAAATGGTCCAAATACTTCCAAAGAACCTACTGAACCTAATATAGTGAAAAGTAAAACATCTGAAACCTTAGACTCAGGAAATTGGGAAAGCTTAGTGAATGATATTAAGAACTTTTCTGACGCAAGTAGCAATGCTGGAGAAAAAGAAAGTGCAAGAAAGATGCTCGAAATTTTAAAACTCTTAGAAGAAATAAACGAAAGTCTTGAGAAGGAAGATAAATGAAAAATTATGTTAATAAGAAGAGCAAAAATGTAAACACACAAAATAATGTCTTAAATTAATATTCTTAGCCAGGGAATTTCAAGAAAATTAAAATATTTTAAAATATTGAATTATAAAAATAGGAACAAAGATGAATTTTAGTAGAAGTGAAATAATTACACATGTAAAATTGGATTTTTTTCTCTTTCTAAACTGCTGAAGACGAAAAAAAATTTTTGTAATGCAAACAATGGACCACAAATTGTTAAATTAAGTTAAGGGATTATGAAGATTTTGCTTAATCAACAACAATTTTCTCAGCAATATTGAAATAAAATGATTCGTGTCTGCGTTTGCGAATTTATTGGCGAGCGTAGATCATGCTAGATTTGGTAATTATACAAATTACAATTGTTAAAAGCATAATAATTTAAATAAAGCATTTTTCTTTCCTTAAGAAGTTGTGATTAGGTTATTATGGTTCATATAAGCGAATCACTTTAAACTATAGTTATCACTGTATTTTATACAAAGCAATATCTTGACTATTATATTTAAAATAAAAAATCCTTAACATACCTAAAAATTTTTCCAATATTTGCTATATAAGTGAATAATTCTTATCCATTGGCATCACTAGATTACCCCAATGATATCAATATTACTATAAATCATACATATAAATTTTCTAAATTTGGTATTTCAGTGGATTACTCTAAGCAAGTAAAAATAGCAAAGCATTCCTTAAACAACTCGGGGATTATGAAGGTTAAGGCTCAATAATTTCGTGACTAATGGCATGATAGTGGCAATGTGATCAGCATTGTGCGAATTCCGCCTTTACTGCTTAGGTAAACTCGTACCCATCGATCTGAAGCTGGGTAGTTTTCAAGCCCAAACTGAAGATCAAACCCCTGTCCTTCTTAAAAACTGTTCAGTACCGTAACCACTGAGCCTGGATCACTCTAAGCAGTTTTTCAAAATTTGGTATATTAGTGGAACGCTCAAAGCAATTGGTATCGCAATAAGTATCCACCTAAGTAATATGTTGACAATTGAGGTAACAAAACTTGCCGTAAATTATCATTTTATGTAAAAGTTCTCTCAAGTACAGTTACCGGTTTTGAAAATCATACTTTCCAATTTCCTAAAGTCGGGCATTTTTTATAATATTTGCATCTTTTTCGATTCTTTCTTTTGATACTTATAATATTACAGATATAAATAATAATATTACAATAATTATCCATATAATATAAATATTGTAAAAATAGCAATCAATATCAATATAAATATTATAATTATGATACATAAACTATCTACCAATAAGTATTTAGACACGTGTGATTGAAAAGAAAAGCAAACTTTATTCATAATCAATAGTTGGTATAGCCTCCACGAGAGACAATTACAGCGTGTACCTTCTGGGGCACACTTTCCACAAGTCCTTGTGTGACGGCTAGTGGTATTTTCTTCCACTTGGCTTGGAGATGACATGCAAGTTCCTACATTGATTTTGGACGGTTAGTATACCCCTTAATTCGGCGATCCAACTCGTCTCAGAAGTTCTCGATAGGGTTCAGGTCTGGGCTCTGGGCAGGCCAGTCCATTCGATTAACCCCATTGCGTCCTGGAACTAACAGGGGTCCACCCCGTAAAACTGTCACAACGTAGGAAGCCCATTGTCGTTCAAAATAGTGCAGTAGGCATCGGCGCTGAGCTTACCATGAATGGGGACCAAGGGTCCCAATCCATACCAGGAGAAACACCCCCAGACCATACTTTCACCTCCGCCGACATGTAGTCATTTGCATAGGTGTCCAAATACTTATTGGTAGATAGTGTAATACAATATTTAATATAATATATAATTTATATAACATAATATAATATAATATAATATAATATAATGTGATGTGGCAAAAGAAAATAAAAATGTATCAACAGTTTA